ACAAGCCTGAAAACATTTGTGATAAGTGTGATGTGGTCCATTAAATGTGTAAGGGTGGTGAGAATTGTATTAGGTACTAATGTGTAGATATCTATTGGCACATGGAATAAGCCTCCTGGGGAAACCATGTATAAAAAAAAACGACAAACAAACACACCGTGCATTCTACCTCATAGGTGGTACAATATGTAGCATCAAGCAGATATATTTTAATATATCTTTTAAACAAATGCTACTGCCATTTTGTCTGATTGCAGAACAACAAAGTATTCTCCTCCCTGTATTGCCTAAAAAAAACTGATCATTAGGTGCAAGTTTTTGCCATTTTTCCACTTCTTTTCCAAGGGCCTCCTGGTTGAATTTAGTCTTTCGTTCGTTATATATAATATTGTATGTATGAGTCTATATTACAGATTTGGAAGGATAAAGTGCCTTATTTGTTGCATTTGGAACACTGTCTTCCCCGAACATATTATCTACAAACCGTTTCAAGTGGAATTTTATTTCTCTTTTTGAAGTGACTCCACTTTTCACAATTTTCTCAATCTCTTTAAGAAGAGTTGGATGAATTCTCATTCATTTCACAGAAAATTTGCGAATGAGAGTGATCAATACTGTCTGCAATATAAAATCGTAGGTGCCCTGTTGGTGGTGAGCTTGACTGCTGCGCTTCCATCAGCTTCTGTCTTGCCTTGAACAGAGTGAGAAAATCTTTAGAGAATTAGAGAAATATATCTAAATCTCATGTTTAAGTAATATTATGAAGAGAGACTTCTTTTAAAAAAAATTTATAAAAATATAAAAAAGTTTTAAATTTGAAAAACTCACTTCTGATTTGCATGGAGCTGGTTAAATTGGGAATACTGAAACCATCATATACCCGGACACATTTCACAGTTAACCATGCATAACATCCTATTTTATTTGTGTCTTTTAATGTGGAATCTCCTCTTCTTTGAACCAGGATGATCAGACTAGAAGCAATTAGAGATACTAAAAATAACCAACTAGTCTGCACACAAATATCAATACACACTGAAAATTAAGTTATTACCACTGCTGCCCAACAGTTGGACCCAGGAATAAACAAAAAACCTATAACTAGGAATCCACACCAGAAATGTAGCTGATAACAACAACAAAATGATATATACATTAAGAATATTCTTTGAAACATATCACTGTCTTTTTTTAAATATATTTTACATATTGTGAACTGCGTATAGGTTGTATTTTCAAAAAACTAAAGACCTCTATAATTTGAAGACGGTTATATTATTATTTTAAACACACAGACCTACACAAAATAGGATTTTACTTCTCATCCTAGGCATGTACGAAGTTTATGAAATACATGTATACATGCAGACGTACCTGTTCATCCTTTTGGGAATTATCATAATACTTATGTCCAAGAGAACACTTATAGTACGTAGTCTTTTCAGCCTGGAAGGGAGAACCAAAATATTTGATTTCAGGTGCTTTATCTAGCTTTCTACTATGAAACTTAATGGCTGCAAAAGAAACACAAACTTTGAAAAGAATTTTCCAGGATAATCTTAAATTGGGGTAAATTAATATTAAAAATATTTACCACCACCCTGACGACTATGTTGAATAGAAGAGCTATATCCACTAGCTTCCAACTCTGTAAATAGATTTTCAAAATCTTCCACGTAACCAGAAATAGTTCCAGAGGATTGAAAGTAGTCCTTCAGTCTCCTCTGCATAATTTCCTCGTGAGAATTAGCCATATTTCTACAGAAGAGCGGTTTGTTACCACGTGCCAAAATCATGAGCATTGAATAAACCTTAAATACTTATTATTAAATCGTGTCTTACCATTATGATTAATACAGATTGCCAAATCTTACGCGCCGTTGAAAACCACACTAAAAAACAACACCAGAAATTTGTCAAACAACACACGTACCGGCAAACAACGGACGGAAGCGTTCGCTAAACCGCGCTACAACGTATATTTGCGGTAGTTGAGAACGTTGGAATAGTCGCACGGATGAGTCGCAGTTCAAGAGTGTTGCTCAGTGTTGCTAGCAGAGAGTATATTGGTTGCTAGTCTTGGCTGGCCAGAGAGTATATATGGGTTGGCCAATAGCAAACACCCAGCCGTGACGTCACCGTTAGACTAGACTGAAGGTGAGGGAATCAGAGAGTATTCAGGGGAAAGCTTGGAATCACAGCCGTTTCGCAGAATTCCCTCCATTAGTATACTCTCTGGCTTTCCCTTTGAGGAGATTGTGTGATTTGTCATAGACAAAACTGTAGGCGCTCTGTGGCAGCTCTGTGGTGATTTGGTTGGGTGGCGCTGCCGTGGGCGTGTTGATGCTGGTTTGTTCCGTAGATTTTCCGTATTTGTCTGTGAAACTGTGTTGGTATTGGAGGAGGTTCTGGTGCAGTCTTGTGAAACTTAAGTTTTGTCCGAAAATGCCTTCGAGCATAGGTGTGAATTTGCGTGTGACAGGACACTGCAGCCAAGGTGCCAGAAAATATATGGAAGACATGTTTTCAGTTGCATACCAACGGACGGAAGATGAAAAAGATCTCGAATACGCTTTCTTCGGAATATTCGACGGCCACGGAGGACAACAAGCTGCAACGTTTGCCAAGGAACATCTTCTTGACAACATTGTGAATCAAAAATCATTTTGGTCCGATAAAGATGCAGAAGTTTTAAGGGCCATACGAGATGGATTTTTGCAAACGCATCTGGCAATGTGGCGTCAGTTAGGTACTAGGTTTGTAAAATACAAGTTTTGGAAAATTTTCTGTTTCAATTTTAGTTTTTGGTAACGAATCTAAATATTTATGTCGATGTGTTCTGTAGATCGCTGGCCAAAAACTGCTGTTGGATTTCCTAGCACATCGGGTACAACTGCAAGTATTGCATTCATCCGCAGAGGGAAGATTTACATTGGCCATGTAGGCGATTCATCAATAGTGCTGGGTTATCAGGAAGGTAATGAAGATATCTGAACGAACAATACAGGAGTCGTTAAGGAAAGGAAGCAAATAACTGACACCACTACACTACACTACTCTACACTACACTGTCAAATGTTACAAAGCCATTTTTCACCTTTCATTTAGAGTTTAACTGGACACTTCCTGATATTTGTAAATATATCAAAAACAGGGAATTTACCATAGTAGATTAAAAATTTCTGAAAGCTTGTAATATTCCCTATGTACTTAAAATGACTTGTTTCAATAGCACCATTAGATTCCAAGTAATTGGCTGTCAAAGTTGAAAAGACCGAGAGCGGCAGGTCAGGGATGAATGGGAATAGTGGTGCATGGTCTCATGGGGAGGGGAGGGGGAAATTAAAATTACTTTCGTTTCAAACAATTGATAAAAGTATTTTCTTTCTAATATATAAATGTGATAAATAAATGCCAAGAAAACCTTGGCCTATTATTTTGTTAGTAAACAATATTCAGTAGTTTTTGTAGTAGCAGCAGCAGACTATAACACCCGAAAGCTTTGGACTCCCTTGAATATTAATAACTGTCTCTCTTTCGTATTTATAGATGGTCAGTGGAAAGGCCTTCCATTAACTCGTGATCACAAGCCTGAAAGTGAAGAAGAAACGCAACGAATTGAACAAGCTGGTGGAAAAGTAGTGAAAAAATCGGGTGTGCCACGTGTTGTATGGAATAGACCTCGTCTAGGTCATAAAGGACCTGTCAGGAGATCAACACAAATTGATGAAATCCCATTCTTAGCTGTGGCTAGATCTCTTGGTAAATGTTGGCCTAAAAATACAAAATGTTACTGATTGTACGATTGTAATTTTAAGTATTTGAACGTCATGTGTTAGATGTTTTGAAAATAATTTTAGGAAAATTAGAGCAATGGATTATACTGAATTATGTTCACCAAACAAAACTGAATGAAATTCACATAATTTATTAATCTATTTTTAGTTACTGACACTAATTACAATTTATTTATGTGGTTATTTGATCTTAGGTGATCTGTGGAGTTATAATCCTGTCCAAGATGTTTTTGTGGTATCTCCAGAACCTGATGTATCAGTGTACACCATAGATGTGAGTTGTCATAGATGCTTGATTTTTGGGACCGATGGATTATGGAATGTAATGTGCCCTACTGCAGCTGTTGAGGTAGTCCAGATTGCAGAGTCACGCAATGAGCAGCATCTTCTTCAGCAGGGAAATGACACAGACACTAGAGACATTCCACATGTAAGTAATAAATGTAAATTTAATTTCTGATGGAAATATGATACTGAACTGTGTGAAGAGAATGAAAAATCCTAAACTTTTAAGTGCTGAAATGGGAGGGATCTTAAACAATCAATGAAATGCTGCAAAGAGTAATTAAAGGAACCTTACATCCCAAGCTGAAAAAGAATCTTAAGAGTAATTAAATAATGTAATGTTTCAACACCCTTGCACACGTCACAAGATTCATGAGTATAGATTTAATTATGGTCCTAAAGTTACATAGATTTCAGGCAATTGGGAAACAATAAAAAAATGCTAAACTGCGTTTACTTCTTTATAAGATCTGAATTAAATATGTTGTCTTACACACTGAAATAAACAATCCACAAATTGTTTGATTTATAACGTAAATACTTGATGTTATAAATGAATTGTGATTTTTGTCAAATGTAGCTTTAGTCTTCAGTTCATTATTAATTTACCTTTACAGAGGATGCACTCAGATTTTAGTTATTTCAGTTGACTCAATGTAATTGGTTAAGATGAGTGGGATATGATAATTAGTTTATTTACATCTTTAAGAAGAGGGAGAGGGAGGGGTTTTAGACCGGTAACACGCAACAAGACATTTAATGAATGCAGCTGTCTATAGCTACAATTATAAAGAAAACAGTTGTGTGGACCCTATCGCAACTGGATGAGCAAGACAAGTATAGTGCAGATTGAATTCATTCCTTTTTCTTTCTAGTAGATATTTGGATTAATATATACCTGGGTAACACCAGGTGCTCTAGCAAGTAAGCTTTAATACAAAATTTAATTTACAAGGACTCTGATGAAATGTTTATAAATGAGAATGTACTAAATTTTCATTTGTGTTTTTGGTATTTTGAAAGATTTCAATGTGTAATCGTGATTAAGAGAAAGAAAGTTCATTTATGTTTTTGTCTGTGGTCGTTCAGGCATGGATAAATCCCTCTAAGAGTTTAGTGGATCGAGCTTTAGAAGAATGGCGAGCTCTAGGACTACAAGCTGATAATACTAGTGTGGTTACGCTGATGTTGGATCCTCCTGGACCTCCTCGAGTGCAGGTTTGTGCATTGTCATGAACAAAGGTTTTATTGCCTCATGTTTACTTGAGAACCATTCTCAAAGGTTGCTCTTTGATTCATAGCTATCTAATATTATATGTCACAAAAGGCTGATATTTCTAATGTTACGAGTGCCCAGAACATCAGCCAAATTGAATAAAGTTGACTTTTAACTACGTCTGGCTAACATTATCAGCAAGAGGGTACTGGCTTGACTGAATATGAGATGTCCTGTATGATTAAAGGAACTATTATGGTATCAAATTGCATTGGGAATTGTGTTTGCACAAAACTTGCGTCAAGACCAAAGCCATTGCACCAACTCGCAAACATGTAGTGAAGGTTTACTGAGATTATGGTTGGTGGTTTCTTGTGTATAAACCTTCACAACCAATGCAGTGAAACTCAAAACTACACTTTTTGTCTCTCACAAGTTTCAGAAACTACTCCTTGCAGTCTCGATCGTGTTTTACTTCATACCTTCTATTCCTCCCCCCTTTAAAATACTTCAACTACCCATGAGTAATTTCTGGCACTTTAGGTAGCCACCTCATATTGGCTAATGACATGACAACTTCATCTGATTAAAGCCTCAAGTACAGCTTCAAAGTATACTTGGTTGGTTGTTGTTTTTTCTCAGCTCTCTGTATTTGGCTTTGATAGTGAAACTCAAATTCAGAGTTTGAAGAAGGGTCTTTGTCTTGATTTATCATCTGTTGATAAAACATTACTTTGGGATCCTCACTCAAGATTATTCATTCATAAATTACCTGGGGAAGACATGGTTTGTTGTCCTGTGCTACAGAGTTCAGACTAGAGGTATAGCACGGTTTCTGTTTCATAGTGGTTCAAAATTGAAAAATACCTTCAAATTTGTAAAATAATTCACTGGACCTATTGTTTGTAAGAAACTCATGAATAAGATGCCAAGAATTGTCAAGAAAGTTTTTCTGGCAAAGGTTGGCTTTTTTATAAAAAGGCAATTTAACAGATAAATTTGTTATAATGTTTCAGTTTATTGTAAATATGTATATTTTTGGCGTAAAATATGTGGACAATAGACAATGATCACAGACTATAAGTGTATTTTCAGCACTAATTTGAAATTATTAGTAGCATCTTAAAGCATCGTTTGGCAGTGTATACACTACAACTTTTAAGTTGGATTTATCTAACATCATAGCATACACAAATATAAAAATATATTAAATGAATTATTACATATTTTTAAGAAATTGATAGTTAAACAATGGCAAACTACCTAGGTGTACTTGCTCAGGATAAGTCTCATAAAAAGGCGCTATGGGCTTCTTGAGTCCCACTCACTAGTGTATGACAGTAAAAGAACAAGGTAGTTAATATTGGAAGTTAGCGAGGCAATTCAAAATTTTATGTGTTTTTACAATACCAATTTTGTTTCTCCACTAGAGTGTCAGTAGTGACATCCTTCAGCACTTTGTTAGTTACTAGCTCGGTGATCTCCTCTTTGGAATCTAGTGACTAGTTTGAGTTTCCCTCCCACAGGGAGCAACTACTTTTTCTAGTCTAATGTTTTTTGCTTTATATGGGGAACACACAGAGGTGCAGAGGTATCTAATTTAGGTCTGATATGTTAAATGTAACTGTTGGCTTACGCAATTTTGGAGAATACCTTCCTCAATCATACGTAGGAGGCATGGTTACTGTGGACTTGACTTTCCCGCTTTTGGTCGAAGAAAAAAGTACACCCAAGACATTTTGCTGGGTTGTCTAGAATGAGATTTGTGATGGTGTTGGGTAGTCAGATATTTTTCTTGTTAATGTGGAGGACTTTGCTTTTCATAAAGTTCACTACAAAAGCCTGGTTTTCAACCAGTTTTCTGGTGTGGTTATAACATTCTGTAGAGTTTGATAATCTGTTGTTCGTTTTGCAAATACTTTCGTTTTATCTCTATTGCAGTTCAATTTTGAAAATATTCCATCACCCAAATCACATTTGTATAAGATGAACAGCTTCAGTCAGAGGACAGATCTTTAAGGTACTTAAGATCCTACTTGTAACAAATTGGGTATCAGAAGCTTGTCTCTAATGCGAACTTGGGATATTCTGTGCGACACGTATTGTGTGATCCATGGAGTTAATTTGTCCCCATCAATTCTAATTCATTAATTAGTTGCTCATGGAGGACTTAGTAGAATGCTTTTGCTTAGTCCATATAAATAACATTTGTATGTTGTCCTTGGTTCAATGTCTTAGTCCATATGTTGAGTGAATCAGGTTGGTGATGGTTGATCTTCTAGATTTGAATCTTATGTTCTGTGTGGATCAGATTATTCCTTTGGGCTTGGTCTCCTAGTCTCTTAACTATTATTTTCTCCAAGCTTATTGGTGTTCCTTAATAATTGTGCATTACTATTTTGAAGATAGGATTTCAGCTATTTTCCATGCAAAAGATATTTTTGCTATGTGTAGTGACTGTTTGAAGATTTTATTGAGCATTGAGCCCAGTAGCATTGCAAAATTTTTCAAATAGATTATTAAAATGCCTGATTTAATGACTCGTGAGGCCAGTTGAGGTGTGTGTATTCAGAGCAAGAAGAGTTTGAGCAGTTTCAGTATTAGTAAATTCAGTATCTCTGATTCCTTTAAATTGCTTTGCAACCTGTTTCCAGTGTTTGATAAATGATCTGAGTTCTACTGAGTGTAAGTAGAATAAAAAAAAGTAGTAAGTAGTCTGCATAATGTTCTCTGATGCATCAAATGTTGCAAGCCTTTTACTTGGGATAATCGTAGGTGGTTCTGTTTTATAAGCAATCTGTTTCTTTAGGCAAGAGTAAAATCTTTTAGTTCCTGTCTGTATAACTTACTTTTCATTATTCTAGTTTTGTCCGTAACTGATGTTCAACTACTCCAGTCCTATATTTCTTTCATGCTTGGCATTTGATTCTGATTTACTACTAGACTTCATGATTGATTCTTTGATTATCAATATTTCTCTTCTCCCTTTATTTTGGAGAGTGGTTACACAACAATTCTTGAGACATACTGAAGAATTCCCTGTAGACATCTCCAGCTTCATTAATCTCTTTGTTATTTTTTTCAATTAGTTACGAAAAATCCATTGAAAATCTACATCTTCTACATCTATGTTTGATTTTGGTATTCTAGCACAGTCTTAGTTATGCGCAGTGTGGTGTGCATTTGTTTGCACGAAACAGGAATGGATAAGGAGTTAATAAATGTTCGACACAATGATATTAAATCTTAAATTGTGTTATTTATTCATGTCCAGGGTACTTAAATCTTCTTTCATTGTCCAAGAATGATTACTATTTAGTCTTTTACAGTCTTGTCTCCAAAGATATTCGGCAAGATGCAGCGCCATATACTTGTGACGCTACTTTCAAAGACACGTTTTTTTCGCTTCGCTCGTCTGGATCCAAGTCACAGCTAGGCTCAAGCCTTTGGCCCTCCCGTTCACTAGAAACTACGTTGAGTTCTATCCACCACTTAACTACCAATTCACTTTTATAAGAAAGCACTTTAATGGTTTAGATCTCTATCTATAGTGCATAACACAGTAACCACTACAGTACCCTTTGATTCTTCACAGATTTCCTAAACACTTCCTTCTGTTTGACCCCTAATCTTTGAAGAGATTAAAACTCCACCAGCTCAGTCTAATTTATGGTCACTTCTACTTCTGCAGTTGCTATATTGATCTTTTGCAGGCAGATGTGTGTCAATGATTGTTTCAATGTTTATGTGAATATTATGTTATTTTAGTTTACAGGACAGAAAAAAATAGCAGGGGGATAAGATGGATAATAAGGAGCATGAGGAGTCAATGATTAGGATTGCTGTCAACTTACAATAGAAAGCTTTGTACAATGTTGGAGAGAACTACACTAATCTTGTTGTTAAGCATTCAAATAATCTTAAGGTTTATTCTACCATTGACTCGGGTGATTCAAGAAATAAAATTAGAGAGAAACAAACGTTGAAAAATATTTGAAAACTTTTTATTATTTCACTGTTTTCATGATATTGGGAGAATTATTTCGTCTCCTCTCAAATTCCACTTTGGAAACTAATCTTCTGGAAATTTGCGCAGATAATGATATTTACCATGTGTTGACCAGGCAACAAAAAGTTCTCAAAATTATTCCAAACAACGAAACTTTGAAGAAGCATGAGCCCAGAGCAGACAATGCCAATCTAAAGGACATTATGGCATTGCTCTATTTACTGAAGATTTTTTGCCCTACTCAAAAGTGAAAATTTTTGCCATTAACAATCACTGTATGAAAATATATCAATATATGTCTATAATGTTACATTTTATGATTTTCCTCTTACTAATTGTGTAATAGTGCTTGTTTATGTTTTATGTTTATTTCATTTCTTGTCCATGCGGTCTGTTGGTACATCATTTTCCTACAATGTTGAGATAAAAGTTGTCACACTTTAAAGGTGTCTTGCCATTTCTCTTTAGGGTGATATAAGTCAAAGGATCATATTGTATGAAATAATAAAATAAATGGTACACAAAACAGAATCTGTGTAAAAGTGGACTTTTCGAAAGGCATAATGTTATGCGATAGTAAAGTTATAAATGTTTTATTTAAAACGTCTGCCTCTTTCACATGATACAAAAATAAATTCTCACTAAACAGCACTCCTATGTTTTACTTTTGCAAATGTAGCATATTTTGAAATAAGTAAAACAGGATGGGGTCAGTACAAAAGGAGTCAAAATGACACCTGGGGGTCTTTAGTAAGTTTAATTCTTTCTTTTCCGAAATGTATATTTCAGAATCCTAGCTAAATCAAAAATAAAGTATACAGCAGTTCAGTATCACAGGAATTGAAATGATTTCATTGAGTATTGTTGTGTTTATTCCTAAATTTAAGTACAGTCAACTCCGGTTATAGTGAACCTTTTTGGTATACTACATCCCATAATGTTACAATTGATTAGAATTTCTCCACAATGATTGATTTTATCAATCAGCAAAATACATTAACAGCACAAAGTGATAATTTCAATATCTTTATTGTCCTTAAAAAATCAATTATTTTCAATTGTTAGCTTCATATATTTTTCATTATTAATTTCTCTAGCACCTTCTCCAGAGTTTGCGCTCTCTCCATACTTGATTCTGCATTGTCCTCTGTCTCTAAGTATCAGAAAGCAGTCTTGACACCCTCTGATGCCTCTTGCACTATTGGAGCACTGTCCCATTCTCTGAAGGCTCTTTTATTCACCTAATAACACACAAGATCTTTTCTGTAGCGGGATGGCACAAGCAGCTAATAGAACTTATCGCCATTCCGTGCGGTTTGGGGGTTGTTTCGCCATGCTTTCAGGCTGTGGCAGTCATGCACTTTCTCTTGCCTAAGTGGAACACAGTGCTCAGTGTCCTGCGGAATATAACCCCAAACTCGAAACTGAAGCAAGCAATTGAGCGTCATTACTGCCAGTTGTAGCCCACACAGGATACAGCCTTTGTTTCCTCAGTGAAACCGAGAGGCATAAAGTCATCAGTAATGTCCCCATTCCAGGTCCGCTACCTCCACCTCCAGGCAGACTTTTTCGATTATGTCCTTTGGCCAGTGATATTTTTTTCAAGCTGCCAGGTGTTGGAATTTGTAACACTGAGGCAATAATTTATTTTCCAGGAGGGTATTAATTTCCAGGATGTTGTATTTCCTTTGTTCACTATAACTGAATCTTTTTATGCAGGAAAGTGAAACGTGACCAGTTACTTAAGTTCACTATAACCGAGAGTTAATTATATCCGAGTTCATTTTGACTGAAGTTTACTGAATATGCGGAAAAGATGAAATTAGTTTCAACCCAACACTATCTTAAATTTTTATAAAATAATTTTAAATATTACTTCAAATGTTGTCTCCTTTTTCTCTAATATTATTTCTGCCTTTTCCTGTAGAATATTGAAAACTTGCAAATTATGATATTGTAAAAAAAAATCCTGTTTTTGTTCCTCTACCATGTTTAATGGATTGAGACATCTGTAACTTCCAGATTTTCATTTTTATTTTAATAAGAAGCTGTTAGAAAAATGTGGATAGTTTCATTGAGAAATGTGAATGTGCAAATATTAATTGTATTGCTCCTCAATCAAAAGTATTTCCTGCATCATGTGTGATATAATTTTCTCTTTTTAGGTCCTGTTAAGTCAACGACAGCAACAGCAGGAAATCTTAGAGCATTCAAGTGTTTCGAGTTTGTTTTCATCAAGGTGTGTTATGGATATTAAAACAAAAACACCAACCAAACCTACAGAAGATTTAACACCACCAAGTGATGGTACGATACATACCAGAACATGTGATCCTGCCTCTCTTCCTGACAGCAGTTGTGGTAATCAAAGCATTTCTTCAGACAGTAAGATGCCTTTCCCGTCCCCACCTATGTCCTTGATGTGCCTCCAAAGTAACGAAGTATCATCATCTTCAACAACAGTAGCAGCTGTATCAACGTCAACTGCAATAAAGACGGTCAGTTCGCCAGTAAATAGAGATAAGTCATGTCTACCTTCAACTTTAGGAATGGATCTTTCAAAAGCAGCAGGCTTTAAACGAAGACACAGTAGTGGATTAACACAGCCACATATGTCAGGAATTGATAAAAGAAAACGAACTCGCTCAGAACACGATTGCTTTTCGAAAGAACAAATTAGAAACGAAGACCTTGCAACAAGTGATGCAGAAAATCAGAGAGTTGCATGGCCTCCATGGAATGCTGCAAAAAAATCTAATAAATCAATGCCTCAGAAAGCTTCTAAATATTCTGGTACCAGGTGTGGGAAATCAATGCTTCCTTTAGTAACTCCAATTGGTAAAAATGCTAACTCAAGGTGGCTATGTTCGAATTCTTCTGTTTCCCCACCCAAGTGGACATTAAGGTCACGAAATGTCCCTTCAGATCAACCACCCAAGTTAGTATGTGATGACAAAACACCAGAACGTATTATACTTCCAGGAGCCAGTAACTTATGTGTTCCAATGACTATATGTACACGTTCCAAAGGGCGTAAACTATTGTCTTGTAATAAGTGATAGAAGTCCCAAACATGCTGTTATTTATATAGAATGCAAATACTATATGGGCATCAGGTAAAAGTGAACATAAAGTGTTCAAAACTCCTTATTTTCAGAAACAGTGTATTTTTAAATATGAAAACCATATCTTTTCTGTATATCAGATTAGTTTGTACAAATTTTAAAATAGAAAGTTGTGAAGTTGGCAATATATTTATTATTCTATTGCTGTAAATACATGCATATTTTTTTCTAGACTTTTACAGATCTTATTTGAGTATTTAATCTGTTCAACAACACATTTGATTTGTCAAATTTAATTATCGTTAATTGTGATAGACGGTTTAGATAATTTTTGGATTAGTTTCTGTGTAGACTATTTCCCATTAATGGTTTTCAAATTTTCAATAAGTCTTTAAAACATTTGATAGAGTTAAAATAGAAGGTAATTAATTTTGTTGGGTGTGTTGTTTGTGAATGTACCAAAGTTATTTCTGCATCAGATGTTGACAAAGTAGTAATGTAAAAGAATATTTTCATAGTATAAAAATGTTTTGTAAAGTGGTATTTTTGTATCCATATACACAGATTTGTTGGAAACCTAGTCAGGCCTACTGTGGAAATATACTATATATTCTATATTGGAAGAAATTGGGAAATACAAAGAAATACAGTATATACATTAATTGTTCAGAAAGTTGTTTTAATAAATTATGTTTAAATTAAGGTCTTGTGCATATATTCATCTCCTGTGAATTTTCTTTGATTAGGGAATTTCCCTGTGAAATTGTCTGCAATGCTGTGTCAGCTTGCAGCTGTTAAAAAGGGTATGCTAAAAATATGGACTTGCAAAGATCTAAAATGAAACAATAAATGCAATTGTTAATGAACTGTTAAGCTTTCCAGTTGTCTGAAGTCAGGATATGTCGGAATTTGATTAATCTGTTGTGTTTTAACAACGCGGTGCAAGAGTTGCTTTGGGAATCCCTGTTCCATTCTCTACAGTACACCTGCCTACCTGCCCCAATCTCATCATTAATTTGTCTAGTGCTATTTACGAAATCCAGTGCACAGGAAAAAAGTAGGTAGCAACACCTTGAAGGCTTCATTTCGATTCTTACTCTGCGTTGACTGCACTGAAAAATAGTTGAGAAATCTCTCACTGTGGTCACGTCTATAAATATGTTATTGTTTGTTAATATTATGGGTTGTACATATTATATAGAAAAAGTGTTCTAATATTGTTAAAATTCTGACAAAAATGTTTTTGGGCAATGACACTGAAGAAACACTTTTCAATACTTTCTCTTTTTATATATGTATATGTTATATTATATTGCAAAAAAACCTAAATACAGCATAACTTATATTAAGGTGACCACGTGGATTTGTGAAACAAGTAGTCTTTTAAAGAGGTGGTCCTTAATAGGGAATTCTTATTTTTTATTATAATTTGCAAATTCTGTTGTTGATGACCATGCTAGACATTATCTCCTGAGGCCCGGAATGCACTTGTATAATTGTGGGCTTCAGCTTTTCAGCAGTATCCCTTGTTAAGGCAAGGTTTTTGGGCGTTTAATTATGAATTATGAGGTGATAGGGACAATTACAACAAATAATCAAAAAATAGTTCAACAATCACATGCTTACACAGGACTCAAACCTGCAGCCTCCACTGTGCAGACACTGGCTGATGCAACAGTCTGCACCATGGGGCTGGCTCTTATTTATTATTTTTAATTTATTAACGATGGCAACAACAAGCTGTTATACACTAATTTATACAATAATTCAGTTTGGTAAAGTAACAATTTTATAATTTGAATCCCAATTATAGATCTCAGATTGTATAAGTACATATACATACATGCGTATTCACAGTTGCGTATAAGTATATTTAATATCATTTAATTGATCACAAAATTATGACTATCCGGGCTATTCTTGAAGCTGGAGTTTCGCTTCGAATGCAGACAGCTGAAAGTGCATTCCATTAATTTATAACCTAGTTCACAATAAAGAGAGATCATTGCCCTATTCTTGTTTTTTCTTCTATCAACCTTATCATGTCCTCCAAGCCTATGTTCCATGGCTCTTGTTAAAAAATTGTTGAATTCAGGAAAGTTATAATTTATGAATTCAAAAGGGACATTTCTCGCCATCTTCCATTGCAATAAAATTGACGTAGTTCTATAGGGATCTTGGTTATCTGCCTTTGCAATTTTTCATTACTATGTTGTTGGTTTTTTTGTCTTTTTGATAGTAGGAAGACCAAACCACAGTAGTATACTCGAGTTTGGCCTTATATATGCTGTATTGAACCGATTTACCAGAGAGGGGCACAATGTAGAGAATGCCTTTTGTGATCAGGTATAGTAGTTTATTGGGTCGTTTGAAAATGGCATCAGCTTGGTAATCAATTACAAATTTCGAAATCATTTTGTTCTGTCGTAGAATCGAGAATGTGTCCAAGGGAAACAACCACGATTCCGACCATCGTAACAATTTGTCGAGGTCGTTTTGCATAATCTGATTATTCTTAAGTAGATCGAGAGTAATTTGTTGTCTGCACAGCAGTTCCAACCAGAAAACAAGTCAGCACCATGGCCGTAGGTATATAGGATGAATAATATCAGGACTAGAGCAAATCTTGGGAGACACCCCTTGTAACATTTCGAGGTCTTGATAGTGTTTCCAATCCCTGTCTGGAAAGTTCGGTCAGCCAAAATTCCTTAAGGCTAATGTACCGAAAAATGCTTGTAGGAAAATTCAATAGATCGCAGCACTGTCACAGGGGACGTTGCTTACCGATAAAGTCTGTACAATTTTCGATCTGTAAACTTGAGGTCTTTTTAATGTACAATTTACGTTACGACGCCATTTTTACAAAAAATTGCAAAAACTCGCATTTGGAAATTGTGCTCGAACTTCCGAGAAAAAAAATTAAAAATGTGGGTTTATAGCGCGATGGCGTCGACAAACGTTCTGTAGCCAACCATGCAAATCGGATGAATAGGAGCGACGTAAAGTGAAATGTGGGAAACACCTCCCCCCCCCCTTCTGTTCCACGCCGTTGTGGGCCCTATCTCTGCGAAGCGGCACGGCCAGCCCCGATGGAGGAGGCCGAATTTGCGGGACAGGCAAGCCAGGCAGTCGGTTTCTGCTTTCGTCACTTTGCATCTCAATATATTTATCCCCCACACGTCAAACTGTCTCGTGTCATCTGTAATAATAGTATAAAACTATATTGTTCACATATTTTCGTCTTCCTTCGAATACCGTCATAAAATTGTTGGCCGCATTACTCAAAATACCGATTCCGATTTGGAACTGAATTTGGAAAAAAATTAAACTGATTGTGTAAGTATCACCAATATTCCATCTTACATCTTATTTTACTTCTAAGATTTTCCGTTACCATTGCACTACAGGGAAGAATGAGAAGATATTACGCACGAGCTCTTTTATCACTAGATTTTCTATCTCAGAGCGGCGTGTTGTCTCCTTGAAAGAATTCACTTCGTGATTCTCCTTTACCAAGTAAAATAGCTTAAGCTAATTTTAAAAATGTATTTTATGCTTTCGGACAAGTTTGAAAAAGTGGTAAAATAGCGCGCTGTAATTGTCGAATCAAATCATTCATAGCGTGAATATGTTAGAGATTCCTAAACCATGGGGATTTTGGGCGATTTTTAATTTTGAGTATTAAAATTTTGAAATAAAATTTATATAATGTTGGCATTTACGATCCTTGTGTCAGTATCAATCTGCAAAAAAAGTACATTGAATACATGTACATTATTTGACAACACTTTGCCAGATGACATTAAACGAATAAATTCGATACAAAAGTTTTAAGTCCCAAGTAAAATATTTTCTGCTGCACAACTTTTTCAATACAATTTGAGACTACAAAGAGCATCCAAAAGGTCAGTAATATTAATTTTAACAATGACATTTAATGTATTATTTACCATTTAGACTGTATAATTCTAAAGAATCTGCAACAAGTATTGTACTTCAGCTTCTGGGCCAATCACCCCATATCGATCAGGTTTTCGTCCAGTTTTCCTGATCCTTGAGCAAATGCTGTGATGGCCGATTGATTTGCTTCTGGACATATGTAAATTCAAATTAAGTCCCGCAAGTTAGTCTCCTCGTAGCACGTCACAGTTTTTAACTGTTTTTGACGTAAATAGTCTTTGCTGCCCTCCTTGTCCAAATCTCGGAGAGGGTGCTATGATAATTCTGCGAGTTTTCTTCGAAGAATGGCAGTATGTACACGTGTCAGACTGCGGGTATCAAAAATATTTTTGAACGTGGGGATAGGTAGTTCGGAGCAATGACGCGTATTTGTTGGCGCCCGCCTCAGTGAAGCAATGGCTATGAAGGATCCTTTCTTCCTTCGAAGCGGCAGGACGCGCAGAGCAATTGAATGCTTGAAAGAAACGCAATAAATGAGCTCCGTTTGTAGAAGGGTCAAAAATAAAGATCGACAATTATTTTGCTTAAATTTGCCACAAAATGAGACAAATTTGAGTTTAATTACAATTTTTTAAAAACTTTGCTGTGCTAATTTTACGGGTCTCGTTAGGAGAAGTTCCGGGAATTCCAAATCCGACGTGGCTCTGGAACTATGGTTCCCAAGTAGACAACTTTGCGAATTCCCTTACCAAGTTCACTAACACTGATGGCTCGCTTGCTTGCTGCCTGTTTCGCTTTATACGTACCGCTTCACCTCCTCTATCGCTGCTCTGGACGTAAATGCAGCTTCACTATGCGCACGTTTTGTTGAACTCTCCTTTTGCTTGTAATTGTAGGAGTAGAGGTAAAGGTGAATTACTATTTTGTTAGCAATGCAGAAAAATCATACCTGCAATTCGTTTACACATGCAAATAAGTTTTCTATAACTCGGGAACGAAAATGTCTAGTTTTGTTTCAAATATTGCTAATCTCGCGCTTTTTTAAAATTTTTACTTATTTATTTTGAACTTTTACTCATCTTTCAACCATTTGTAGATAAAATAATGGGAAGGAATTCTGAAACTGAAGAAAACGGGCGCAGATAATCTACTCCCCCATACGTCACAAACAGTTTTTACTATTTTTTTGACTAAATACATTTAAATATGCTACTGGTCATTCTAGGAGGCACCACGTCACCTCAGTTTACGGGTCTTATTCGAAGGATGGCTGGGTAAAAATCGGTATTATTTGGAAACACAATTTTTCAAGATAAATTCAGTTCTGTACTTAGGTTATATGGGATACGAGAACGTCTGCCCCATTTATAGTACCAGAAATGTGATTTGTGAAATAAAGTAAACTAGTGATGCTACAGAATGGCACAGACTTTCTTCGTTTTCTATTTTCTATGCTCTGGGATATATTTTCGGTTTTACTCCACCCTCTTCCCAGCTGCCATCCATTGCCACATAAGAAACTTTATTCACATTTTTTCAAATTTTCGCTTCACTAATGATAGAACCGAAACAACTTTTAAAATATTATAAAACTGTAAAACCTCGTCATATATAAAAAATAAACCTCGACATTTTAGTTGAAAAATTTTAAGAAACTAACGTTTGAATGTTTCTGAAAATGCGAGCTCAATTTCTCAGAATACTTTTGAGTTTTCGAGCAACTTTCGAGACATCATTTTGCAAAGCACGAGTACTCACAAATGCAATAATGTATACAAGCCACCCGTAATGTAAATATTAAGAACGCGAGATAATTTAAAAAACAATTGTGTAAGGTTTGAAAAAACAAAAGGATATAGCAATGTTTATGTCATCTTACACAGGACAATTAGTACCATCCCTACCAACAATTAGAAAACAATTTTAGAGCATTTTTTTTAGAAATTGTTTTCAATATTTTTTGATGCACATATTTCACGCAATATTACACGAAAACTACTAACATTTTGAAAAAAAAGTGAATGTCGTCAACAAAAGAATAAATTAGGGAGAACAAATTTCATTTGATGAAAAAATCTCTATCTTCAATATTGTAGTTGAGCGGAGACGCGGAGAAAAATTCAAACTTTTGTAACCTTCTGAAAATCAAAGTTAACAGTAAACATCGGATCTATCCTAGCCTCTTTCATTTCAAGCATATTTAAATCTATTCTGACAACAAATTTGAAGGGGAAATTTGGAGTCATTTTTGAGAGAATATACAAGATGTCCCAAGGGCGTCATTTAAACAATGCAAATTTAAAAACAATCTTTTTCGAACTCATAAAGCTTTTGAGACAGGCCAGATCGACCAGTTCTACATTCTCGAAAAAAATACCTCCTTAGTCTACGGTTTCGTCGTCCCCAAACAGTAGACAAAGAAAACAGAAAAAAATACGTGTTTCCTGGCA